TTAAGTTGACCGAGAGCACATTTTTACTCGCAGTAACGGCCCGTGGTGGCAATTTATGCTCTCATGCTGTTGGCTGACGAGGTGTGAGAAATCTATCGTCTCAATCAGAGCTACAGCTTCGGCCTCCTGGTTGAGTTTAAATTGGAGGATTTGAACCATAAATTTACTCTGTTAAACACCAGGCTGCTCCCATCGAGTACTGCCCCGCTGATGAATGAGCTAACAGGCTGAGTTGATGATGGCACACACACACACACACACACACACACACACACACACACACACACACACTCTGGCAGGATTTATCTGTAAAGGAACCCCAAGACAAATACGACCGTAAAGGCCTCCATGGACCTCTTTTGTTTCCATTACAGTATTTTTCCTCCTCCCAACAATAAATATCTTTACTTCAATTAAAGTCAGTCCTTTAGTCAGTGAGATTTAAACTTTGCAATGCCCCCCCCCCCCCCCCCCCCCCACACACACACACACACACACACATGGCCCTGAACTCAGTCTATAGTCTCGTATTCTCAAAAATCATTGTAGATGTTCAGGGTTTTGAGGCATTTGCGTTGTTCCTCTTAATTTTGGCTTTACTAAGTTTGTTTTGTTGGTTAACGAGATTCAACCAAGCGCAACAATGTCAAGATCAGCTCAAGTGGTTGTAAAATGTTTAGGCTTTTTGTCTTGGGTGACCTCATAAATGTGGCTATAATCACAAACTATTTTTAAACGCATGTTCTATCTAGGTCTCCTAATGATTTTGGGCCTATAGGGATGAAAATAAAAGTCCACATAAAAATGAAGTATTGTTCAAATGGTTTAATTAAACTATTAGGCGTTATATAATTTGAGTTAGTTTTATGAAATGGAAATGATCTTTCTAATGGATTTTTCTTGCATGTTTAATGAGCGTAATGCTGATTTGCCTCAAGCCAGCTGGTAGTGTAAAAGCCATAATGATGAAAAAGTGGCTCATTAGAATTCCTTGGTTTTTTTTTTATCTAAAATGTCTATTTAAGGAACACTTTTAGTAAAAACATGTAAAGTTTTACTTGTACTTATATGATTCCTTTGGAGAATTTCTTTCTCTGCATTTGGCCCACCCTTATGTTGCACTGGGGGGACTTTGTGGATCAGCATCTTGCCCAGGATAACTGCTGAGTCTGGGGATCGACCTTTTGACCTTTGGATCATAAGGAAAACGCTCTCCATTCAGCCACAGCTGCCCGATCAGTATCCACCACACAACAGTTTCCTCTGGGTTTGTTGGATTAACTCTTTGTATTGAGTTTTTTTTAATCAAAAAATGTGACAGATTTTGTAAACATCATTTAAATATGTAAATATTTCTCCTGCCTGTCAGAACTTAATGCCCACCTTAGTCACAATTAAACGTCATCAGTGATGCACCAGATGACAGGTGTGAAACACTTACAGCAGATCACATAACCTGGAGCTTTTTGGACTATATTCTCACTGGTTTGTACCATTTATCAGACCCATTGACATATAAATATTGGACAATGGGTTTCCACAGACTCCAATAACACGTTTTGGAAGAAAAATGGGAGGTGGCCACCACCGCCAGTTTGAAAGTGTCACAGGTTCTGTCAAGCCCAGACAATTCCACAAAAGGGAAGAGAGGAGGAGCTGAGGGTGGGGCTGTAAGGCTGGGATCAACTGACGACACCCAGTCGAACTAGCTACAAGCTAACCTGAAGCTAACCCAAAGCTAACACGGAGGTGGGAGCTAAGCTAACGGAGGTAGCAATCTAGCTACAATCGGAGTTAACTGTGCACAACACCAGAGCTTCTGAGTCAGAGATACGCCGGGCTGACCGCTGGGTAAAACCGGGTGGAACACAGAGGTCTCCCGAGAGCTCCACAAGCCAGCAGCCGCATAGCAGATAAGCGCCGCTGCGATCTGAGATGCGCAGAGCTGCTGCTGGGGAGAACCGGGTGAAAAGGTTTCCATCCCAGAGCTCCACAAGCCGGCAGCCCGGGTAGCAGACAGAAGCCGCGATCAGACAGAGATGCGCCGAGCTGCGGGGAGGGGAGAATGGGTGGAAAACATCGGTCTCCCAAGAGCTCCACAAGCCGATAGTCGGAACCCAGCTCCACCAACATGTTATATTTCAACCCATTTTCTAAAGTGCAGCATTATGTTAAATGCACTGGGTTTTACCCTATTACATTTACATTTCATGGTTAAACAGTACATGTTAAAAACTAAGCTCAGCTCGGCAGTGACCTAAAATACATAAATATAATTTTACTTACCGAAAAAAATGAAGTGGAGACTCCTTGGACGCTCTATTAGTGCAATTAATGCCACAGCAAGTCATTTTGTCCAACAATTGCACAAAAAATATCCAAAACAGAATACACAAACACAGAGACTCAAAATCCCGGAACACTTTCCAGACCAGACCGAGGCTCTACTGAGGCCTTTCCACAGAGCTAGCTCTGCGGTCACGTGGGTCTGATGCTCATTAATTATACAGAATTTTAGGCTTTTAATACACTTAAACAGAAGAGAGATAAAAAAAATTCACCCCCCTCAGAGTTGTCATGAGTGTAAACTAGATAATTTAAACTAAAAACATGTTTTGGTACCAGGCTGTAAACATGTTTATTTCTGCTGTGAAATTGGTATTTTTAACATGGGAGTCAATGAGGGTTTGCTCGCTTCTGACACCAGCCCCCAGTGGATGAGGGTGGAACTGCAAGTTTTGTCACTTCTGTGTTGGCCTCAATTTTTCACCCACAGTGTGGGGGCCTGATCAGACCTCATGAGGTTCAGGTCCCTGTAGAAACACGAGGTTATCTATATTACAGCACCAACAGAAACGGTTTTAATATTCATTTGGATAAAACACCCCGAAGTGGAAATTTGTTATAATTTCCATTAAACTCAAAAATGTTTTTTTTCCACCTATAACAAAATGGGACTCCCATAATTGGTTATGAGTTGGACTCAACTCTTTTTAGTATGAGCAAAATGCTGATTTCATGTAATTTTTGTATTTTTGTTTCTTTTCTTGACCATTCATCTCCCATCAAGACACTGACTATTTAGTACATTTGCAGCACATTTCTGCACATTTTTAAATCTTCATGTGGAATTTGAGATGTCAATCTCATTTTACTTTTGGTCTTTGCATAGTCTGCTTGTACATGTAGTTAAATCATCTCCATTTTTGAAGTTCTTGTTAATATTTTGGTGGAGCTCCCAGTTACAAAGGGGCTGCTGAGTGTTTGAGCATTTTTCTTTTTGTGTATGGAGTGCACGTGATGATAGGTTTCAGACAAAAGCTCAAAGTTTAGATAAATCATCTAAAATATTTTCATATTTTATAGGACATTCACTGAAATGTTTGGAAATGTAAAGTTCCATCTCTAGATATTTTTTAATTTAATTATCTTTATTTTATCCAATTAGTATTGTAGATGTTCAAATATTGCTCTATTGATCACTGCATCAAGTTAAAGTGTTACCATACTTTTTAATTTTTTTTCATTCTGTAATCTTATTCTATCAACACACACCATTAAAAACACACCTTTTTTAAGATGCTGTAGGTGGTGCAGTCTTTATGCTCTTAATGTACACTACGCTGTAACATCAGCCCTTCAATCTCAGACTAACATTGTGACTCGCACAATACAGTCGTGTTGTAATTAGCTTTCTACACGTTATAAATACACACGAAGAGGCTGCATGTGTCTGCGAAGCTTATGAGATTGCAATCTATTTAATTGGCTCTCACACACACATTAGTGAAGACATCTTTGTGTTTATCGAGACTTTCTTCTTCCGGTGCTGAAGAGTTTGAAGTAAAGTCTGATGCTACTCTCAGTCTCAACGGAAATATCGCCTGTCTGTATAAAGAATCTGAGGTGCAACATTTTATTATAATGTGTTAATTGTTACCAACTCCTCCCGCTGACTTCATTCCAATCATTCCTGCCACCAACGTGGCGGCTGACGTCATCACGCCGACACTACTTAAGGAAGTGCCGGCGTTTCATTCATTGCTCAGTCATCGTTCTCACCAGACTTTGTTCCGAGTCTCCAGGCTTACCAGCCCTCTAAACCTTCAAACTAAACCTTCAGGAGATAACCACGCTGGTTATTTCCATCACTCCGCGTCTGGGCAACAGATCCTCTCAGTCACGCTTCAGATCTGCCAACGAACCTGACATTAATGATCTTATGACATCATCGACATGGTGACATTAGTTCTGTAAGGGAAAGGAAACATTGTTGTCTTGTGTACTAATCATAAAAAAGTATTAATGTTTTAAGGTTCTCTGTGTAAACCCAATGTACTCAAGTCCGTTGGCATACTTGTTTTGGGGGGAGGTCAGGGGCACAAGTTCAACCAACCCCCCCCCCCCCCCCCCCCAACTTTTTCAAAATAATTCTATCAAATTTTTGTGAATTGAGGTAGAAATTTATTCAAGAATATTGTATTTGAGAATACAATATGGATCACTGAGAACAGCAGTAGCTCAGGAAGTAGTGCGGGTTGTCCAGTAATCGGATGGTTGCAGGATCAATCCCGGCTTCCACCAGAGAACGCTGTTGCTGTATCCTTGGACAAGACACTTAACCCGCCTTGCCTGCTGGTGGTGGTCAGAGGGACCGATGGAACCTGTGTTTGGCAGTCTCACTTTGTCAGTGTGCCCCAGGGCAGCTGTGGCTACATCGTAGCGCATCATCACCAGCGTGTAAATGTGTGTGTGTGAAAGGGTGATGACTGAGTTGTGAAGTGCCTTGGGGGGTTGTAGAACCTATAAGAAGGAGCTATACAAATACAGAACATTTACCATTGACCCCACCTACCACCACTCAAACACACACACACACACACACACACACACTTTTGAAATAAAAATTACTTTTTCATCAGATAGTTAAAATGAAAAGAATCCTCCATTAAAAAAAAAAAAAGAATTAAACAAATTTTGTTCCTCTGTGTTTGTTTCAGGCTCGAAAGCCAGGCTACTTCTCCTTCCTCGACCCGTTCTCCCCAGCAGTCTGGCTGTTCATGCTGTTGGCTTACCTCGCTGTCAGCTGCGTTCTATTCCTCGCTGCCAGGTAAGACACCTAACTTCTAAATTTAGTTTTGAGCCAACACAGTTGGTACATTTCTGCATTTTGTTTAAAACAATTAACCTAGTTACTCTAAGAAATCTGGTAGAATGAAAGTAATTATGTGAAATATAAAATGAGCTTTGCTCGACTACCTTTCTATCTATTTCATAAGTCGTACTATATACAGTCTGTGTTTGTAAAAGCTCTATGCTAATTCCAAAATGGTAATTGCTAATTCTGTGCAGATGGGAATAACATTGTAAACCAGATCAATGTTCACCAGCTGATGAGGTTGAAAGGGCAGACATTGTTCATAAATTATGCATCCAAAACTGTTTTACGATTTCATTGGAAAACAATGATTGTGAAGGCAGCTCGTACGTGCAAACGAGACAAATTAACTTATGATTTTCTTCTGCTAGCCTGACTGAATTGGTGTTAATGCAGAGTATTATGTTGTAAATTAACCAGAACAAAAGTGAAACTAGTTTTTAACACAGTCCTCATATTTTGCTCTCTTGAGGCATTGCTCAGCTCCGCACAAATGTAGTAGGGAGCCACTACTGTACTCCTCTTTCTGCAGTGGTGTGGAGATAAGTAGCGACATTATGTGTCGACACAAGGGCTTTCCAACAGGTATGCAAGGAAAAATGTTATAGAGGCCAACTTTTATTGATCCATCAAATGCAATAGAAAGTGTATGTTTGTGATTGGTCGCCCCAACAACAGCTGCGGCTTTGGTGGGAGGACATTACTCCGATGCCACTGTCTCCATCGCTCCCGTTTATTTCGTTGTAAAGATAGTTTTTGCTCCTCGAGATCAAGCATTTCTAAAATTGGAGCAATGCCAAATTTCAACATTAAGAATCTAAAATTTCCATTTAAATTCACACCTTCTTCAAGATATTAGCGTTGACAACCAGAGATGTCACTGCAATGGAAGGCAGACCCACCAGAAAACATCTACGCCCTCTGCTGTCTTGGTGGAGATTTGCTTAGCAAAACTGACCCACCAACAGAGAAGGGAAACAATCACCGTCAGTGTGTACACGAGCTGTGATGATGTCATCAACGCAGTTTCAAACCATTTATAAATTGAGCAGGCTGACCAAATACATGTCTCGGTGTTAAAAACTGTTACAGAGGCCAAAAGTGATTTTTCAGACAGCAAAGTAACATTTTTCACCACCGGCCTTTTTTTTATTTGACAGTAATTCAAATGATCTATGATGGTGGCAGGAGTCCATGTGTACGGCATTTGAAAAATATGGGCACATATAAAAATTTGAGATCTTAAGCACAAAGAACCACTGAGATACATTTGCTTAAGTGTTACTTTCATGCCCAATCTTCCCTTATTTTTCCTCCGGTCCAGGAACGCATTGATGCTGATATTAGAATGCTTTTATCTTGGTGATTTGAGATTTTTTTGGGTGGGAACAGAAAAGTTTGATGTGAATCAGCTTCTGACACCGGTTTAGCACAGAAGCTTGTTTTAGGAAACTTGGAGAACATTGTTTGTCTGAACTTATTGTGAATTTTTTTTCATTTGTTCCAGGCTCAGTCCTTACGAGTGGTACAACCCTCATCCATGTTTACGGGAGCGGCGGGACATTCTGGAGAACCAGTACACTCTGGGAAACAGTCTGTGGTTCCCAGTCGGAGGCTTCATGCAGCAAGGCTCGGAGATCATGCCTCGAGCGCTGTCCACCCGCTGCGTCAGCGGAGTCTGGTTTGTACAGAGAAGAAAAACTCCTTTTGTTGTTTGTCACTTACTGAAAAAACTCAAATCTTAAATTTTATAATCTAAAATATAAGTTTACCCCCTCACACCCTCCCTCCGCCCTAAGACATAACTTACTAAAAGTGGATTCGCTTGTGAAGGCTGTCAAAACACCTCAGAGCACTGACTTAACCACTTAACAACAGGAAAAACAAGTCTGACAGTGAGACAAGTTCAAATAAAAGCAAATAAACAATGAATCTAAGAAAATGAATTATGTAAAAAGCCATTGATTTAAACATCTGTACCCTTTGTCAAGATTTAAAGAAACTTTTATGACCGTGGGCTTTCTTTAAGCTAATGCTTTCAAATAAAATACTTCTTCCCTAGACTAAAACCATCTGAAAGGCCAACATTTCTGTTTTTTTATGTAAAGAATGGGTCGTTTACACCTTATTTATGAACCATAAGATGTGAGATTCCCTAGAATTATGAAATATCAATCTGATGGAACTTTCACTATTTTAACCAGAAGATCTGAACTTTTTATTGCAGGGATTAAGCCACACTTCATATTTACTCCAAGGAAAGAGGGGAGTCAGGTTTAAAATAGTTAAGACATTTATTTCTACACAACTCAAACAAGACTAACTTTAACACTCTGTGTACCGATGGACTAAGGTGGAGTGAGATGAGAAATGATAGTGTGTGTGTGTGAAATGTTATTATCAGAACCAGCAGATCCGGAGAAGCAGTTAGTTCTAAGTGGGAGTGAATGTTTCACTGTAAACTTTAGTAGGAGGTTTATAACACACATGAAACACCATCTGTCGGTCTACATCTCTGTCGTAATCGGAAGGTTGCAGGTTCGAGCCCCGCTCAGTCTGTTGCTGTCGTTGTGTCCTTGGGCAAGACACTTAACCCACGTTGCCTGCTGGTGGTGGTCAGAGGGACCGGTGGCGCCAGTGCTCGGCAGCCTCACCTCTGTCAGTGTGCCCCAGGGCAGCTGTGTCTACGTCGTAGCTCATCCCCACCAGTGTGTGAATGTGTGTGTGAATGGGTGAATGATGATTGTGTTGTAAAGCACCTTGGGGGGTTCCATGACTCTAGAAGGCGCTATATCAAATACAGGCCATTTACCATTTATTTACCATTTACATACCCAGGGTGAAGCCTCCATTCAGATCCAGAATGCCGAGGTCCTCGTGGACCCTCTTTGGTACCGAAGCCGGTAGAAAAGCAGCGGTGCTGACCAATCCAGTCTTGGAATGCTTCCAGGTCACGACAGGCTATCACTGGCGTCTTCGAGACCCTGAAGGGGTCGTGAGGTTAAATATCATGAAAATATTTACTTGGTCATAGTACGCCCTAACTTATACATTTGAGGGATAAGGAAAGTGACTGTTTGGTGTAAAAAGCTGCATTCACTGATCAGAAAATCGCAGTTTTTCATGATGCCGTAGGAGACCACATGCCGGTGAAAATTCTAGCGTAGTGAGGGGGTGGGTTTCAGCAACATTGTTTTGATGTTGGTAGTTTAGAAACAAGTGAATGCTGCTGATGTTTTTCCTTTCATTCCACTTCACCAGTTTTACAAAAACAGGTTGTTCAGCTACGTCTCCTGCTGAGCTACAACCAATCAGCATGAGTTAACCACAAATCCCGCCCAGCTACTCTACTGTGCTATTTCTGAGTAAATATTGCTGTTCTGCTGGTGAAGGTCATCCAGGTCATGGTAATCTAGAAGGGTTCAGATGAAGGCAACTGGACTTCTTTAGTTTCTTGAAGACGTTTCGCTTGTCAAGAAACCAAAGAAGTCCAGTTACCTTCACCTGGACCCTTTAGGACACATGTGTCAGACACAAGGCCCGCAGGCCAGATGCGGCCCGCGGAGCATTTTTATGTGGCCCGCGAGATAAATATCAAAAATATATTAAAACTGGCCCGCTGGCCGATTTTACCGCAAAGACTTCAACTCCCATGATGCTTTGCGTCGTCAGCGCGGAGCCGACGCGCCCCCTCCTTTGTGATTTTTCCAGCGTCTGCTGCCGGGTGTCTGCAGCTCCGCTGTCTCGGACAAACGAAACACTCCTCTCACTCAGCGCCGAGTTCACTCAGCTGTTTTCTGACGTTGAAGCTCAGAAACGGAGATTCTAGCCGCTCAGTAATGTGTTCACGACTGAAAGAGAAAGTTTTCCAACTCACGTCCAGACAGAGCCGATATAACTCCAGCGAGCAGCAACACGCTCAAACCAGCTTGACTCTGTGGTTGTGTTTCCTCCCCGACACACAACAACGTGGTCAAGCTGCTCAGACATGTTCAGCAGCACAAACCTATGTGAGCACCTGTTGTCATCTAATGTTGTCATTATTATGATGAAGATGAACAAAACAACAGGAGTCTCCTCCTCAGCTCAGATCAACTCCATGATGCAGGTATCTGGCTGGAACAGGTGAGCATCACAGTGAACCAGTGGAGCAAACTGAGCTTTAAATATGTTGGTTTTATGCTCTTTTTCTGCTCCAAAACATGAAAGTTAACAGGTGAGATGTTGCATTTTCATTTAAGATAAAATTATATCTTTATTTTGTTGTTGGCCCGTGAGAAAAGATTTAACCTACAGTAAAAAAAAAAAAAGGAAGTGGAAAGGCTGCAGATAGATGAATAGAATAGAAAATCCCTTTATTGTTCCTCAGTGGGGAAAGCTAGACGTCACAGCAGCGATGACACGTATTACAGGAGAAAAAAAGGAGAATAAAAATAAGAAAAATGAATAAACAAGAAAACATAAATCCTGAATAGATTTTAAAAATGCTGATTATACCACAAGTAATGAATACCACTGATGCCTTTTATTTAAAACTGACTTGCTCGTGTGTCATTTGGTTATTCCACATTCAGTGTTAATGCAGAAATAAGTTTGTTTCCAAATTCAAAGGTTCAAAATTGCATATATGTTGATAAAGAAAATGTGCAAATTTGCCGTCACTTTTTCAAAAAATATTAAGTTTGGCCCTCGACTCCGTCCCAGAGTTTCATTTCGGCCCCTTGTGAGTTTGAGTTTGACACCCCTGCTTTAGGATAACCACTGTTCTGGTACTCTGTCGGTTCCTGAAATGGTCCTGAAAATGGGCCTGCCTGGTGACATGGAGACATGCTCATGCTGCAAAAGTCTGAAAAAATTCTCCTTTTTATTTAATGCATTAAAATAGTTACTAATATTTTATGAGGTGTTTGCAGCACAACCTTTTAACGAAGTGGTCCATTCTGATCTTTGTGCACAAACTCTTTTGGACCCAGTTTGTTTGGGTCTGTATAGTAACCCCCCCCCCCCCCCCCCCCACCCCCACCCCCCCAAACAACATTTAGAATGAATAGCATCTCCTATAGATGGTATAACTGACAAGAGGATGAAAGTTGCTCCAGGGAATATGCAAAGGTGGACGAATGGGAGTGAATAATTGTAGGAAAGACTGCCATGGTCTCCCCTTCTTTGTCCTTCTACCTTTTCTCTCCTCCCATCTGTCCATTCCTCCCTCTTCAGGAACATTAGCTGAAGGTGAACAGATGGTATCGGCTCTAATGTGAAAATGATGATGTGGGTTCCTCCTCAGGTTTCATTTCCGCTCCTCTGCCTCTCCGTCTAGCCTCTAATTCAAACCAGTTTTATGTGTGGAACTTTTAGCTGAAACTCGTTCTGACTGCTTTCTGATCACATCACAGGAGCTGATTAACCACAGATGTTTAGTTTTTCTACAGTAACTTTTAATTTCGTTTTCATTATTTACTCAAATAAATCGTCTCCAAGTTTGAAATTGTTATGACAAAGGAAAAGTGATGAATTTTGACTGTATGAATTTTAAATATACATCCAATATATTTTATAGTATATGTGTGAATTATTTTGATGGCGTCTAACAAGAAAATTTACTCTTAATTAATAAAATACTCTGCATTTTCACTTTAAACGATCAAATATGAATTTTTATGCATGTAATTAATACTTTTGGAGTGAAATCCTCTGACTTTCACAGCTCTACTCCCTCGGTCCCAGTAGCTGCAGTCAGACAGATGGAGGAGCGATACTGGGAGGACTGGAGGGGCCTATCAACATCTTTTCCCTGACAACCCTCTGACTCCACTGGCACTTAGCCTCATAAAAGCTCATGATAGCCGTGGCACAAGCTGCAGCGTACTGATTTCCGGCTGTGTTTCTGTCTGAGTGGCCTGCTGGCTGAGACTATGTCCAGGTTACATAATATGGCAAAAACAAGGAGAAATGTAAAATATATAACAGCATCTATAAATCCATCCTTTTAAAATCTTTCTATAAAAATGTTAATTGGCAAAAGGTGCATTAGGCAGATCAGCTCTGCAATTTTATTTTGACTATAAACATGATGTGAGTGTTTTATTACTTTTACTGGAAGGCTGTGCTTTTTGAGAATAAGTAAGTGAGGTGCACTTTCAAATTTGCACATTTAAACTGTGAGCAGTGCTACTGTTCTTATTATTATTATTATTATTATTATTATTATTATTATTTAAATATTCGTGCATAATCCTTTTTGGTGAATTTGTGGTTTTCATTTGAAATATATTGTACAAGCTCATTCTTGCCACTATCTGGCCTCACTGAAGAATATGTTCCCATCATATTTTTAATATTTTTTTAATTGACATTTTCAAGTAAAAATTGGTGTTTAACAGGTTAACCACTTCACAAAGACCATTTGTGCCCCGCTATCCTATTGAAAAGTGGCCTGCGTGGGAAAGACGAGATCAAAGTAAAGAAAATCTAAAGGATTTGGAGCTTCTATACTTTAGTAAATCCAAATATAAAATAATAAAACTCATACAAAACAAGATGCTTTGTCCATCTTTAAAACTCTACGTGCTGCACTGATTAATTGTTTTACTTCACAGCTCATAACTGGATGATTGAGATTATTTCATGCCATATATAAATTTACCAGATATATATCTTTATTATTTTTTTTACTTCCGAATGTTTTCATCTGGTTTCTAGACAACACTGTGAATGCTTTGAGTGTCACATCATACTTCTGATATAAATCTCCATCAACATGATGAATAACAAAAAAACTTAGCCTCAAAGTTACTGGGTATCTATTGCAGGTGCAATTTAGGGTTTTGTGCTCCAGTCTAATCCAGAAATCCCCTGCCAAAGTAACATTAATCTTTGTAATGATGCAGTTTGCTGATATTTAAATGGGGTATTACATATGCATGTAAAAAAAACTCATGCTTATGTACATTTTTGCTGTGGCAACAACATCCTATTCTTAATGAGATGCATTATTTCCAGCCTGCATTTAGAGCAAAATATTTACCTTTTCCTCAGACCTGGTGGTTTCATGTCTCAGGATGTTGAACTGTGATCAAATTAAGAGTGGAAATTGCTCACACCTGCTGACTTTCACGCCTAGGTTTGTGCCTCCACGTAATTAGTGTTCATTTTTTCTGTGTGTCATTGTCACTGACAGTGAGCAGAAAGCTGAAACACACACTATGCAGTATTGGTGAATTTTTTCCAGGTTTGATTTGCAATAAAAAGCAGGAAAAAAAATGTCACAAATATATATATACATATACATTATCACTTTTATAGTTTTAGAATTACACAAGCGTTCAGTGCAGTTACATACGCATCTAAATTGATCTGTGGCAATAATCCGGCTAATATTTTAACCAGATTGGGAGTCGTTATCCTAGCTTACGTGTCCCGTAGAAATTCTATTTACTGAAAGAAGGGCGTTCAATTGTGCAATGGTAGGTGCAAATGTTTGCCCTTTCGTCTTGACATTTTTTAGTTTAGCCTATAGCAACGGCACAGAAGGTAAATAAATGCTGGTCAGAGTGAAGCAGATGAAGTAAAAGCAGGGAATGCAGGATGGATGAACGCTCAGATGAAAACACTGCAGCACAGTGCATTTGGTACGTACCTAACTGTTTGATGGTGTTACACGTCAGATTCACACAGAGTCTTGTGGCGATGATATTTTCAGAAAAACCACTTGCATGGTCTCACTAAGTAGGTAAGTACCCAGGCTGGTCATAGCTCAGCTAAGCTGGGATGTTGTTTAAGAGCAGAGGAGTTTGGTTTTCTAACTGTAATTTATTATGAGTAATCAATTTTAGATTGAATTCCACCAGACTAAGGTGTTAACATGCATTTAAAAGTCGGAGGGAATGACTTGGTTTTTTTTTCTGATACTGCATGTAAACACATAGACTGTTTGAGTTATACGGTTATTGTAGAAAAACATCAGTATAAATTAATCATTAGAAGTCAGTTGTGGTTCATGCAATTGTTCAGGAAATGAGGTGTTTCTATGAAAAATTAATGGGAAAGTATCTCGATGTGTTTTCTTTCTGTTAAATCAAGTCTCCAAACAACAATCTGTGTAAATAACAGATATTCAGCAGGAATGACATTTAAGCATTCGTGATGCTTTAAATGTTGCCACTTGTCAAATATATTCACTATAACACAAATATATTAAATTTGCATTCCAAAATATATTAAAATATAAATCTTGTGGTTGAAGAGAGGCACAGATTGTGCAGGTTTTATGAGTTTGACATCAAATATTTATAATATAACAAAAGCAGAGGTTGCCATAAATTGAATTATTTTAGATGGTTTGAAGATCTTCGCCTTTCCCTATTTGCCGTAGAGATTTTGTATATATTGATAACCATGTTCTAACATGTAAGGGCTATCCGATTTTTGTACAACCAAAGCAAAAGTGTTAGACTCCATCAGAGCTGCTTTGGGTTAGGATTAGGATTAGAGTACTGCTGCTTAACCTTCCCAACAAAAAGACTCAATTTAAGTGGTTTGGAGGAGGTTTTGGATTATCCAAAGGAGCAGACCTGGAACTGGGAATATATGCGTGTACACTGTATGGCAGAAGTATTCAATTCGGGGCCTGGAGGGCCGGTATCCAGCATGTTTTACTTTTAACCCTGTTTCAACACACTTGATTTCAATCAGCAGGCAATTAATAGGCTTTTGCTGAGCCTGATGGGCTGCTGCGCAGGTGATTAAACCACTGAATCAAATGTGTTGGAGCAGAAGAACAACTAAAACACGCTGGGTACACATTTAATGCCCCGATTCTATGGTCTTGGAATGCCTTGGGATTCATTAAGTAAGCCAAAAAGTATTGTTGGGTGGAAGGAATGTCTGGCTTTCCATTCTGGATCATTTGCAACTCTTGCAAACTTGCTAAAAAAGCAACATGGATGGATAAATAGATGGGTGGACTAAAGAGTTATTTGTGTTTGACCAAGGATGACTCAAAATGTGTTGTTCATACTGGCATCTCTGTTCTAGACCCTTTGGCCAAAGTGCCAGGAGACTGTTAACCTTGCTAAACATAAAATTTGAATGAATGGAAAAACAGCTCAAAAAGTCATGGTTGAATTGTATTTCTGTCCATGTAAGTGTCTTCACCAAAGAAAAATATTAAACACAAAACAGGAAAATTGTCTTTTTACTTGTTCTTGCAAGTTGCAGCTAGCAGTATTTCGGAGATCCCTCTTGACATTTACATAAATATCAGATTAATTCATTTTCATTAGTTACACAACTTCCATTCTGGTAGAGTGATTTTAAAATGCATTCAATGTACTACAAGATAATAACAGCTTTCAACCAATACTTGTGTAATTTTGCTAAATTACTATAATTAAGTGTAGTCTCTGGAGCCAAAATACTATTTATTCTTCTCTTATATATTAGTTTAACCATTTTAGTGAATTATTTACCTCTTTCCATGTTATTCTATCTCACTCGTATTGTTCGTACGTTTTTCTCCCTTTTGATCCTTCCAAAAGGTGTCTCCTGTTTTAATATCAAAGCTCATAACTTTCATTCAGGTTTAGTTTTCTCCACAGCAGAGGTGTTCTAACCCTACTGCAGCTCGAGTTCATGTTTAGGTTGATCATTTTTTACCTAAAACCCCTGATGGCACCTCCATCTGTCTTTTCTCTATTTTCCTCCCTTAGCTCTTGATGGTAGGAGAGAAATGAAAAAAAGAATGTTAAGGCTTGGTTTTCGAGTGCTTTCGAGGGTGAAGGCTTTTCTTTCTGTATTCTTCAGGTGGGCATTCACACTCATCATCATCTCGTCCTACACGGCCAACCTGGCAGCGTTTCTTACCGTACAGAGGATGGAGGTACCCATCGAGTCTGCTGACGATCTGGCCGACCAAACAAACATCCAATATGGCACCATTCATGGAGGATCCACCATGACTTTCTTCATGGTGAGAGGAGGACATAGCTTTTATTAAATTGTCTTCTGCAGTCCAAGAAGTTGATGAGCTAGATTACAAGTAGCAGCAAATACAGGATCAGCATGATATATGTTTTTTACTTCTATTGTTATTTTCCTATTTCACAGCACATTCTCGCAGCCGAAGCGGCTAAAACTGACGCGGGGTGAAATACAACACAGAGTGCCAGAGCGTCGGTTTCCGATGCCCACATTAAAACAGAGTTTTCACCAAATTGTGACCTTTACCCTGTTGCAATTTAACCTTCCTCTCACCCCCATCCTAACCTTAACCCACTTGTGCATGCTAAACTTTGTTTCTAGTTGTATCGTCCATCTCAAACTTGGTTAACGAGAAGTTAAGAACAAAAAACTGGGTTATGGTTAGGATGGGGGTGAAGGGAAGGTTAAATAGCAAGAGGTTAGAGGTAAAATGTTGGTGAAATGTGCGTTCTCCAACGAGCTTCAGAAACCAACGATGCCTCAGTTTTAGCCGCTTCGAGTGTGAGAATGTGTTGTACCTTGAACGTTGAACCTTGAACATACCCAACAGACTTAGCAATGTCTCTCACGACTCTGTCAGAACTCACGGTACCAGACGTACCAGAGGATGTGGAACTACATGAAGTCGAAGCAGCCCAGTGTGTTTGTGAAGAGCACCGAAGAAGGCATCGCCCGCGTCCTTAACTCCAAGTACGCCTTCCTGATGGAGAGCACGATGAATGAGTACTACCGCAGCCTCAACTGCAACCTGACACAGATCGGAGGCCTGCTCGACACCAAGGGATATGGCATTGGCTTGCCTCTGGGTGAGTGGGGATATGTTTGCCCTGGTTTGGATGTCTGCCATTGGATTTCTGTACTCTCATAAATACAGAACAAAATTGTAAGTATTTAAGTTGTTAAGCCAACAAAAACATACACAAATTTCAATGTCATTAAGATTAGTTTCACTTACAAGGACTATTCTACAGTGATATGAGTGTTAAGGTAGATTGATTAGAAGGTTTGAAGGGATGGATAGATGGGAGGAGGGAAAGGGTGCTTGGTATTTGCTCATGAAGGCTTGGGAACTGCCAGCAAATATCTTATTCCTGAGCCCACTCAGAATGTCCCAGATGGTACCTGAAATGAGAAGAACTGGATACTTTTCTCTTTAAACAGATTAAACCAGCTTATACTGGGGAAAAAAAATCTGTATTCCATTCTTTGACAGATGCCTACACATTTCAGCATAGTGGATTTACTGTCAGTTTGTTGGACAAGGCAGAATGCCACCAGTTCTCTACACTACTCCCTTTAAACTACAAAATAGATTAAATAGTTCTGTGATGGGTTTCCATTGAGTCATGAGTCTTATCAGCACTAACTAGAGCAATACCAGCAGAGGTGTTGACTCCAGTCAGACTCGAGTCATTTTAATGACTTCTGACTTGACTTGATAAAGTCTATAAAGACTTACGACTTGACTCGGACTTGAATGCCAATGACTTGCGATTTGAATTGACTTGCATCTGTTGACTTGATGACTTGAGCATATTTGATAGTTTAGCACAAAAGTGACACGACATGGACAAAAATCATAAATCATTCTTTGTTCTGGGTTTGGTTTACTGCTGAATGCAGCAGCACTTTGTTCATAATCAGTTTCAGTTGCACTTTCTGCTTGTTTGAGCAAATAAATGAAGCTTTAAGAAGCTTTATTTCTGGAATTTATTTATTATCATTGTCATTAAATTGAATTTGGACAGATTACTTGATTATGACTTGAAAATACAAAGTTAAGGGCTTGGACTTGACTTGGACTTCCACATCATTGACGTTGGACTCGACTTAGACTTGGTTGTCTTTAACATGCACTAGACTCAAGACTTGACTGGAAAGACTTATGACTTGCAAAGCAGTGACTTGGTCACGCCTCTGAATACCAGTTTGGTGAAGAATTCTCATCATGCTAAAGTCTGGGGCTTATTTCAGAACATAATAAAGCCACCCCAAAATTTCCATTTTATCAATAGAATCCTGCTGTTACGTCCCCTCTGGCGTCTAGGAGTGGTGAGGGGAGAACACAGAGAAAAATAAAACTATGTAAAATAAAAAGGGGATGAATCACCGATGGATGGTGTCTGTTTATGATGGTACATAAGTGAATGGAAGGAGGTCAACGGAATGGTTGTTTCAAAAGGTTTATTTAAAAAATATCGGATAAATGGTATTGAATAAATAAACTAAATAAACCCCCTTTTCTAAAACAGGGAGCAGAAACCCGACAACAAACTTAAAGCGCTCTCACTGGTGTTAACCAGACAGAGGGGTCCAAAAAGGGGAAAATACACCTAGTTAAACTAAACTAACCACTAAAGAAACAAAAATATAAGCCTAAACCCTTACCAAAACCAAAACGACCCACAAAACAGAAGCTAGAAATCTCCTTAACTAAAAATCCTCCAAAACAAAACAAAGAGCCAAGCTAGATTGAGGATTAGGAGATTAACTATAACGGGAAGCAAAAAGGCACAATTTATATATAACGTGTATCTATATCTATAACTCTGGGGCACTAACAACAAACCAAAAACCCCAAGAATGGAGATCACAGTAACTAGTAACAGAGTCTATGAGAGATCACAGTTTTAACACCCGGTGGTGTGCGACTGGGTTGCAGGACTTGGGGCCTGCAGCAGGAGATTACCAGGAGAGCAGAACCTCTGGGTTCATCACACCTGCATTGTAAGCTTTGTACAGCAACACTTTGCATTGTGTTTTTTTATACATATTTTTCTTAGATTGTTTGCTATTAAAGACCGCTATGTTGAAAAAAGGTCAATAAGCCATCATATAACATTCTATGTGAAACACAAAATGAAAATTTTTAACTAATCTTTTTAACTATTTTACACAAAAGTAACATGGTATAAGAAAATAAAATGTTTGAACCAAAGTTTTATGGATCTAGTTTTTTTAGATAGTAAAGATTATTCTTGAAAAGGGTTTAATTTAACTTCTGTTTAATTTTAAAAGCACATTTAGAAATGACATAATACAAATAGTAAAACCGTAAATCTGGTCAAGAAGATTTCATACCTAACCTCCAGAAAATGTCAACTCTACTGTCGTTGTGAGTAAGTCCGGTTGATGAAAAATGTAATAAATCTCCTTCTGCTGTCACATATTGTTTTACTGCATCAAGGCTCTCATTATCAAAAGCTTGTGTGTCACGTCTGGTTTGCTGTTAATCAGGCCCAATGACTTGTGCAGCTGCTGCTCTTGGCAAATTAAATCCGTACTGATTCCAATTAGGTTTTAGTCTGTTCTGCCCGTGTTTGGCCTGACCTCGTCATCTGTCTCAGTCTTGTATCTGATGATAAGTGCTAGCACCTACATTAGCATAGGTGATAGAATATATAGATGCATGTAAAGTATTGCACAACAGTAAAAATATAGCAAAAGAGAGAAAAAAAACAAGTCTTTTGGAGTCAAGTCTATCCTTCAAACTGCATGTTAAGAGATAAAAATAATCTTGGTGCCCTCGATGGAAGTTGTCTTTTGTGCTAACGGCTTTGAATGACGGCAAGTGATCAGCATTGGGCTTAGGAAACAATAGGACATATCTGCACTCTAACTTTAAAGGCTCTCTCAATGTAACCTTCAGTGTAGCTATGACAACGAAGATGTTTCAAGCCTTATATCATTTATCAAAGAGCCCCATGAAGTCGGTAAATCAAGCAGGAGACATCAGCTGGAGTGCTGCAATTAGGTGACAGCAGAAGATGATGTTGGAAGTGTTATATAATCCATTTTATAAGTACTTTTATTCTCAAGGCAGCAGACGCTGTCATGGGGTGAAAATACATCTACAGGTGCTGGCCAGTAAATTAGAATATCATCAAAAGGTTGAAAATATTTCAGTAATTCCATTCAAAACGTGAAACTTGTACATTATATTCATGCAATGCACACAGACCAATGTATTTCCAATGTTCATTACATTTAAATTTGATATTCATAAGTGACAACTAATGAAAACTCCAAATTTGGTATCTCAAAAAATTAGAATATTCTGAAAAGGCTGAATATAGAAGACACCTGCTGCCACTCTAATCAGCTGATTTACTCAAAACACCTGCAAAGGCCTTTAAAAGGTCCCTCAGTCTTGTTTTGAAGGCACCACAATCATGGGGAAGACTTCTGACTTAACAGCTGTCCAAAAGACAATCATTGACACCTTGCACAAGGAGGGCAAGACACAAAAGGTGATTGCTAAAGAAGCTGGCTGTTCGCAGAGCTCTGTGTCCAAGCACATTAACAGACAGGCGAAGGGACGGAAAAAATGTGGTAGAAAAAAGTGTACAAGCTCTAGGGATAACCGCACCCTGCAGAGAATTGTGACGACAAACCCATTCAAAAATGTGGGGGAGATCCACAAAGAGTGGACTGCAGCTGGAGTCAGTGCTTCAAGAACCACCACGAGGAGACTCATGAAAGACATGGGATTCAGGTGTCGCATTCCGTGTGTCAAGCCACTCCTGAACAAGAAACAGCGCAAGAAGCGTCTCGCCTGGGCCAAGGACAAAAAGGACTGGACTGATGCTGAGTGGTCCAAAGTTATGTTTTCTGATGAAAGCAAGTTCTGCATTTCCTTTGGAAATCAAGGACCCAGAGTCTGGAGGAAGAGCGGAGAAGCACAGAATCCACGTTGCATGAGGTCCAGTGTAAAGTTTCCACCGTCAGTGATGGTGTGGGGTGCCATGTCATCTGCCGGTGTTGGCCCACTCTGTTTCCTGAGGTCCAGGGTCAATGCAGCCGTCTTCCAGGAAGTTTTAGAGCACTTCATGCTTCCTGCTGCTGACCAACTTTATGGGGATGCAGACTTCACCTTTCAACAGGACTTGGCACCTGCACACAGTGCCAAAACCACCAGCACCTGGTTCAAGGACCATGGTATCCCTGTCCTTGATTGGCCAGCAAACTCGCCTGACCTTAACCCCATAGAAAATCTATGGGGTATTGTGAAGCGGAGGATGCAATACGCTAGACCCAACAATGCAGAGGAGCTGAAGACGACTATCAGAGCAACCTGGGCTCTCATAACACCTGAGCAGTGCCACAGACTGATCGAGTCCATGCCACGCCGCATTACTGCAGTTATTGAGGCAAAAGGAGCCCCGACTAAGTATTGAGTGCTATACATGCACATTCTTTTCATGTTCATTCTTTTCAGTTGGCCAACATTAGAGAAACAAACATTTTTTCATTGGCCTTTAGAATATTCTAATTTTCTGAGATACCAGATTTGATGTTTTCATTGGTTGTCACCTATAAATATCAAAATTAAACGTAATAAACATCGGGAATACATTGGTCTGTGTGCATTGCATGAATATAATGTACAAGTTTCACGTTTTGAATGGAATTACTGAAATATTTTCAACCTTTTGATGATATTCTAATTTACTGGCCAGCACCTGTAATTTAGTTATGTGGTTTATTTCTGTTGGCCGTCTTTCCTGCTTTCCCTTTGCATCTGATATAATTGTAACACCTGCTTCAAAGTATTTATTGATCAGATTGATATCAACTAATTGCCATTCAACTGCTTGCCAGGGAAAGGGGGAATGAAGTTAACTTCTTAGACCATTCTAAATAAATAAAGAGCCTAATATCATGCTGTGGTAAACAATGTGCAATGAACAGCTCAAGGGTCCGTAAGCCTCACAGCCTCAGAGAAGCTGTTTCTCAGCTGTTTAGCCAGCCTTTAAAGCTGCTCGATCTTCTGCTTGAAAGAATAAGGGTGAATAGTCAATGGGATGGATAAGTGAGGTCTATCGTTTTGCTCTTTGCTCTGAGAAAGAAGGATGCTGTTGGTTGATTTGGAGCAGATCCAACTACTTTTTGCATCCCTACCTTGTCAGCCTCTGAGCAATTCCCATATTAGACTGATTTGAAAGATGTCAAACCTCTCCAGGACACATCAAGCTTACCAATAACTTGTTCAAAACAGTTATTGGGGAGCTTTTTTTTTTCCTTTCATTTATGACTGTGGTAATTGTTCATGTAAAGTCAGGACATGTAGCTGGTATCACCTACCTCAAGGCCTCTCTTCTAATTACAGTATGAAGGGTGGAAGGATGTGTGCTCTTCTTCTGAAGTTCATCTCTTTTGTCCTTTCCCAAATATATGCTTAGATTATTTGTCTTATACCAGTCAACATGCCCCTATGGACACAGTTTTTGAGAGCCAATACCAAGTGTAATGGTGGAGGATGATAAATGAGGTGTTCACTGATGGTGGTCTGCTGGTCAGGAAGTCTAAAACCCAGTTGATTATCTTGAGTTCTACCAATAGCTGTCTAATGACTTTTTTTCTGTGATGTTTAAGGCAAAAATAACACATTTTACTTGGTGGTATCATTTTGTCAGATCTCAGTTGCCAATTTTTTTGGCTGTTACTGTTAAGGTGATACATTTAGACCTAGAATATTTTATTTTCAAACCAAAGGGGGAAAAAAGTTTGGTTTCACAATTATTAGAACTTGTGCACATGACAAAATGTAAAGATGCAATATGTAATAATGAAGTAAGCGTTACACTCTGTGGTCAAATTTAGGTACTGCAGTCCATTTTTTATTTATTTTAAAAGATTGTTTGAAAGTTGTTGATAAAGTTGTTGTTAATAAAGGTTTTGTTTAAAAAGTAGCACAGCAACCAGCCTTTCGGCATGCATTGCGATCGATGACGCTATGCTCCCTGTCCCAATTTGGCAACTATTTGCACACTTGTGTATCACACACTCAAAGAGTTACTGTGCACTTCCTCCAAGTGCACTTTGCTGAAGACCAGAGAGTGCAGTGCAAGTATTGGGATTGGGCCTAAGAATTTACAAAAAAAAAAAAAAGGCAAAAAAAGATGGAAGTGTCTAAACATAGATGCTGGCCTTACAAACGGTTAAGAAATGCCTTTGCACAAGCTGTTTATAATCCAAGGCACATTTTATTTAATTTTGAAGTGAACGTTTTCTTTCACTGTTACATGTATTGCTTGGGGAACGAGCTGCTGGTGCAGTGTTTCTGCATAATAACCTGTCATCAGAACCAATGTTCTCGTTCTAAAGGACCTATATTTAGTTTGACCGTTTGCAGCTCGCTGCACATAAACACAAACCTTTGGTGTAAAATGACACTCCAGACTGAAACAAACATTTATGATTTGTGTAAAGAGTGCAGGTACAGATTTGCATCTTTTCCATTTCTAAGAACACGTCACTGAATTGGTATTCAGCTTTAAAAATATTGATTAGAACTCAAATAACGATTTGTACTCCAATCCAAGTAGCGCTCTAACCAATAGCGTAAAATGACACAGGAGTTTTAGCAGAAGCAGTTGTCTGGTCTGAACGTTGCCATTAACTGAAGCTATTGTAATAGATAGGACTCAAACTTACGTCCTATGCATAGTGATTCTAACAACCGTGAGAACACTTTTCTAGCTTGTTTGCTCCAAGGACAATTGATAATCAGTGTTGGGAGTAATGCGGTACAAAAGTAATTATTTACTGTAATGCATTGCTTTTTGCTGTAATGTGGTAATGTAAGGCATTACAGGGAAAGAAAATGGTCATATTTACTCGGTACAATTGTCAGTAACGCGGTGATTACAATGCATTTTTAAACCCAGAATCAAGATGTGTTCCTTAAAAATTCTAATTGTAGGAAACCCGAAGAAAGATCCAGTATCTGCATATATTACGTCATTTATGGACTCAGCTTTGCAGGCAGAGAGGACGCCGCGGTAACGGCTCAGCTGCGTCCTGCACGCGGCCGCTGCAACATTCACAAAATCGCTCCACTAAAACAAAATAATTCACTTGCGATCGTTCATATCAGCGCATATTCTCTGGTATTTTGTGCTTTTCTGACGTGCTTTGCCTCAGCTGAGTTCATAATCTGTGCCCCGGTGATTTCAACTCATTACTGCTGCACATGTGAAGATCCCTATGGCTGATCGTTAGAAAGTAGGAAGTCTAGGAAACTGTTTTTTCTGGAAGACGGAGAAAACATGCAGCATGCAGGAAGGTTAGAGAGAGAAAGGGCAGGAAATTATTCAAATAAAATCAAGAAAAAAAGAAAAAAGTAGGTAGATTTATCCCCAATACACATTTTTACCAGCGAAAAGCAATAATATATAAGCATTTAATATTTATACATGTGATAGAATCAGATTACCCCAGAAGTCAGTCCCACATCCAGGGCCGTATCAAGGCATTTGGGGACCAAGGCAAATAGGCTTGGAGCCCCCACCACCTCACTCCCTGATCAGTTAATATAAGATGGCAGCGTGCTGAGAGTAAAGATTGTTGTTGCTTTTATTTAATAAACAATCATTTTAAAGCACTGTTATTATATCTGACTGTTTTTAACAACAATCCTAGCTCAGACACCACATCACTTTCCACATTTATGTCATGAGCTCACTGAGCGTCACATTACCAGATTCATATTGAAGTTGTACTGGTGAAAGTAACTTAAAGTAATTCAAAAGTAGTGTAATGCCTTACATTTTAAAATCAGTAATATTGTAATGTAATGAATTACTTTAAAATGAGGGTAACAAGTAATAAATAATGCATTACAGTTTTGAAGTAACTTGCCCAACACTGTTGATAATAAACTTTTCCTTCCAATTTCCTGTCATGAGTCTTTTTCAAAGGAAACTACAAATGTCCAATAAATATTCTGGAACACAGAATTATTTCTAATCTGTGCTTTTTAGAAAATGCACATTGTAAACATTCAGGGATAAAATGAAATTTCAAAGGTGGAGGATATGTTAAGTCAATATGGTGATGTTCTTCAATCTATTTTCTTTGAAATAAACATGTGAGTGAAACTGAAAATCCTCTGTCATGAGCCATTAAAATAAATAAATTAAGAGAAAGAACCCAAAGCTATTCACCTAATGGCAGCAAGGGGGGCTAAAAGTAACTCTGATTTTTTTTTTTATGTGGTTTCAGAGTGAGTTAGTGATTTATACTGATCTTATTCCTTCCTCAGGCTCTCCATACAGAGATGAAATCACCTTGGGGGTTTTACAGATGCAGGAGAGCAACAGACTGGAGATCCTGAAGAGGCGCTGGTGGGAGGGAGGACAGTGCCCCAAAGAGGAGGATCATCGAGCTAAAGGTGGGTTCATCAGCAGGGATATAACCACCTTTTTGTATTTGACACCCCAAAAATATGTTTGCTTGGAAAGCATAACAATCTGAACTCTTTCTTTTTTATGTTATCCGTAGTCTGTGATTCAATTAGGGCAACTGTAGAAGAAGAGGCTAACTATGAGTTGACTAATGATACTAATTTGTTCTTTCTTCTCACAATCTTGTTTTTCCCGCGTTTTTATCATTCAGTCATCACTAATGCAAAAATTGTGAAAGTTTCACGTGTTTAATGTTCACACAAATTCCAAGAAAATAATAGTAATCCATTAAATGCTAATAAAGCATGCATCCGGAAAAAATAATCTAGTAAAGCATCTTTTAGATGCTGCTCATTTATGTGACATTTAGTCCCCCAAAGAGGATGAAAACATCCAAAAATGTTCTATTGGTTTTCTGTTGTCATCTAACACACAGATTAGTAACGTTTTTACCTTACTTTGCTAAAAGTTTTGCCTATTTCGGTGAAGGCAACCAGAAGTGGCCAAAACTGTTAGCAAAATAAGGCAAAAAATGTGGCTACTTTGTGTGTTAGATGAGAACAGAAAACTAATAGAATTAGGTGGATCGAAACATGCATTTCATCGGTTTTCTAATGTTCAGGAAATTGTGCCACAATCACAACTAAAATAATGTGACAGACTGTATCATCGAAAATGTTTTTTATATGTGCAAACGTTACTATTCAGATAGCAGTTTTAAGGCGAATTCTCCACCTGAAAAAATGTGAGCCTAACTGCTGTGACAGATGGTGAGGTTGTTAAAAATGTGGCACAATTAGAGTTTAACAGGTCAAAATGTAGCCCAGTTACAGCAGAGTCAACATTTTGCAGGAAGATGGATGCTGCCAGATGCTCTGTTGAGAAACATGGCCATGTGCTTATAAAAAGGTTTTCTGAGGTAAAAGAGTATGTTTTGGGAAGACAGTGTGGCAGGCAGAACATTTTTATATCATGGAGTCCTGTTTAGGAACATAGGGGTTCTAAACATAAACTCAAACAGGCTGTTTTTGGCGGTTGTGTTGCAAATGTGTTTAGCACAGTGGCAGCTAAAGAAAAAAATTCTTAATGGTCCTATGTGCAAAAAAAGACTTCCCCTTTTTCATTCATTAGAATTATTCAATGAACAATTGGAAAGTGATTACAATTCCAACACAATATTTTATTTCCCTTCCCCATAATTATGGTTCTATTTTTATTCAAACTTAAAGTATTATTAACTCATTCACTGCCATTGACGACTAAAGTCGTCATTTAAGATCCAACCGTTCACTGCCAATGACGACTAAAGTCGTCATTTGCATTTTTTTTTTACTGTTTGAGCATCAGAACGAGCCCCCGCGCTGAGAGAACAAACATCTCAGCCCTGAAGCCGATCTTCATCCGCATACGTCACATGATCAGGAAGCAGCACATCCATGTGTTAGGAGATTGTTTTGGGCCGTTCCTGTAAAAAAAAGTGAGGGGCGAACCGGAAAAGTGTCTGCCGATCACAATTCAACAACGGCTTATGAAAGAACGGATAACGCTCGAAACACACGGATTCTTCCTGATGTAAGAGGTGAGTCTCCGCTTTGTTTTGTTTGTTTTGGCATCGACATAATCCTAGCGCGCAACGTTGGGTGACTCTTAAAAAACAGTAAAAACGGTGAGAAACGCTGGCAGCGAAGGCCGTTAGCGATCAGGAAACGGCTGGCAGTGAATGAGTTAATGAAATGAAGTATACATGTATAAAAGAAAAGAGGATTATTGATTAAATGCAATATACACGTGTTAAAGAAAAATTGCTTATAGTTTTTAAGTTGGCAGTGAGCTTGAAACACCATGACTGAAACATTTAGTAGTAAAAAATAGCAGTCATTTACATTATTTATTTGTGTACTGCAGAGAGCAAAAGTAGGTAATAGATTGTTTCTGGAAAAATTACCACATCAGGTTTTTATTGTGATCTGAGCAAACTCGCCGGGTAGAGACAAATCTCTCAATCATAAATATTGATGGGACATGTCCCCGATTAAAATGACACCTATGGTGAAAAAATGTGTAAAAAATTCAGATTTCATGTCAGCACACAAAATCAAGAAAAACATAGTTATTATATGTATTTATAATGTAGTTTTTTTTGGGGGGGGGGGGGGGGTAGGTTTTAGATTTTTCTTTTTCCTCCACGTAAGCGAGGGCAGCCCCTGGTGTCCCCTGTGGATGAGCTGCCACTGTTAACCACATTTTTGTTTGCTTTATAGAAGAAATAATAAAAAACTGTAGATTGATATGAATTTTGAATGATACTATAATTGTTACATTTGATGAAATGAAGACTAAACAAATGGTTGATTTGGTCTGAAAACTTTGTTCCTATTTAAATAGAAAAATCTTTTTTACAAACCAGATTTTTTAAAAATCATATCAACAATAATTAAACAGACCAGCATTTCACAGCTAATGTTCCCAAAATTCAACCTGTATTGTTTTCCTTCATACATTAATTTCTGTTTTTCTCCCTGCCACACGATCACATTTATATAGCAATGGAAGTAATTTTATTTTACATCCAATGCATCTACTATAACAGGGACGTGTCCAGGGAGTGACCTGGGGTAGCACATGCCACCCTTAGAATCTGATTGGCCACCCCAGGTGCCACCCTACTGAGTTCCAGTTTAAATTTACTTTACATTGTCGACAAAAGGCTTGAGTTGTAAACTCCAAAAATAGTGTGTGGTAGCATGCACCTTTAACATTGTCTTCTAGCCCAGGCCTACAGAACATTTCTGTAGTATTAATATTATTTATTATTTTTTCATATTCACATAAATAGTATTGAGTCCCAATCAACTCCAGTTGGTGGCAATAATGCATCAAGAAGAGACTTGCTAACCACCACAAAACTAGAAGATGAATAGAAAAAAATGGTGATTGTGCAATGTGAAACTCCGAAATTCACTAGAAAGTAAATAAATAAACAAATTGTGTAAATAAATAAATAAGCATAACCATTGGTGCCACCCATGCATAAACAAGTGCCCCACATGGGCCACCCCATTTTAAAAGTCCTGGATACGGCTCTGTACTATAATGAGACAACATGGCTTATCTTCATTGACTTTTTTCCCTTTAGATTTAGTCTTCAGCAGCTGATCATAATAAGAATGTTAGTTCAGCCTGTGTATCGATCTGCTGCTTTCTGTCATCTGTTTTTATAACTGTCTTCATTGCCAGAGCAGAGGAATAAATTCACAACAAGAATTTGAATTTCTGTTTTCAACTATAGATCCACAACTGCATCATTTCCTTTTGGAGACAAAACCTTATTTATATGTTTAAGAGTTACATTCCCTTTGGTTTCACGTTGTTTGCAGGAAGTAAATTACAATTAATGCAATGTCTTCTGAAATGATGAAAACTTGTGATTGCGTGGAGTCTGAAAAAATAAAGCCGTTAGAGTTCCATTAGAACAAACCAGGTTTGTATTAGTTGCTGATTGCACAGTAAACAAATGTTTGTGTTGGTGTGTCTGTGCATACAATTGGAGAAATAATTTCAACATGTTTTCCTCCTTTTACAACAGTAAACTTACTGAGCAAATGCCTGTGCAGTGGACCAGTAGTCCTTGTTCCTATGCTCGCTGCTGTGCTTAAGCGGTTAAGACTTTTGAGTCTCAGAGCAGCTGAGAGTGAGAATCCAGAATATCAGTTGTTCACATATTTCTGGTGCCACAGCTTGTCCTTTGGAGAGGCTTTTCAGTGTTGTCACAGTGTAATGCATGGGTTAGGAGTGAGTGATGATAGTTTGGCTAGCATCCTTCTTTCTCCATTCACCTGCACTCGGTTGATGAAACATCTCAGGAAAGAACTTATCTCTGGTGTCTCTTACACACCAGAAGATCTGAGTTTGCCCTGCAGGCAGAATCTACTCTGACACTGTCTGTATGGTGCACTAGTTGAATCAATTTGTTTTTACATGTAACAAAAAGGATATTCTGATGTATGTTAAATTTTCACAAATGCCAGGAAAGAAAAACCGCAGGTTAGCCACTTTCAGCTCTTTTGTAAGATTCATCTGGAAGTGTGCCCATTGACCTCAGATCACCAAGAGATTATTAAAGAGTCAACATAGTATATTATATAATATATTATACCCATGAAGCCTGTTTTACATTAAATGCCATGGGAGAGAGAGTACATAGCCAATAAACATCCCTGATAGAGCACTTGTAATTTTTTAAGTGTCAATCAAAGAATAAAAACATTAAAGATGTTAAAATGGCAGCTGACGTGAAAGAACATTTGAGTCGACATTTCCTAAAAAGCTACATGAAGAATTACTGAAATAAATTACCTTTTGTATGATATTCAAATTTTTCGAATTATAACCTATAATTTTGTTGTGAAAACATTGAACAGAATAAAGTCACAGATACATTTGCACACTTCCAATTTAGATTTTAGATCTAAGTGATATAATTTAAAGTTGCATTTGTTAATGGCAGACATTAATGTGGACTGGTAAGCTGCTTCATTCATTTGTAAATCTTAGTTGAAAGAGCTGAGATTTTCTCCATTATTGTCAAAAACCAAACCAATTAAATCCATTCCAACTTTTTAAAAGCACTTTTTAAGCAGTGCTTTATAGATTAAAAAAGTAAAAACAATAAACAAAACCTATGACAGCTTTTAAATAGGATTATGTGAAATTATTAAAAGAGAATAAAAATATATTTTATTCCAAGTTATGCAAATATTTCAGTTTGATTTACTTTTTTTAAGTTAACACCTCAACCATTTTAATAAGATTAGTACTTTTAAGGTTCTGTCAAGTGGTGAAATATCTTAAGTGCTACAGAGTCAAGTGCAAACTTTTTCTAAATTCTAGATAAAATATAGGATAAATATTTAAATGTTGTGTTATTAATCAATAAATTGTTTTAAAAGAACGTTTTGCTATACAATTTATTGGTCTTTATTTAAAAAATATATCTATTGCAAATATTATCAACATTTCTGAAACTTGCAAGAACATAAGATATAATAGTCAAAGAAACTATTGCAAATGTGGAGCTAAATGCTTCATTTGCATATAAGATTTAAAATAAATTGTTTTAAATATGCAAGTCAAAAACATCTTAACTTAAACTATAAATGAAAAGTATTCTCTTCCCCTGGCAGAATTAGAGATACTTTATTTTCGCTAAAATAGATCAATGCAACGTTCTGTTCCTCACAAATAATTCAAGGCACCAAACCGAACTTGCTGAAGAGAAAGAAACACACAAATACAGCTCCCACACTGCCAAACACCCTACCAGTATAAACTGTGGATTCCTCTTTTTTTTTACTCTGCTCAAGAACCACTGTAAAACATTGACTTGCCGTGCATAAGCAAGATATGCACATTTAATTTACTTGCAAAATTTGACAATAGTTTTAGAAATTGTTTACTAAAAGAAGAACAACTGATTTGTCTAATCAATTCTTTGCCCTTGTGTGTGTGTGTGTGTGGGTGTGTGTGTGTGTGTGTGTGTGTGTGTGTGTGTGTGTGTGTGTGTGTGTGTGTGTGTGTGTGTGTGTGTGTGTGTGTGTGTGTGTGTGTGTGTGTGTCTAGGTCTTGGGATGGAGAATATTGGTGGCATCTTTGTGGTCTTAATTTGTGGTCTTATTGTCGCTGTGTTTGTGGCCATCATGGAGTTTCTGTGGTCAACTCGTCGCTCTGCTGAGACAGGAGAGGTACATTTTCATTCTGTCACATCCTTACACCTGAAGAATCTCCCAAAATAAAATCCATCATTTATGCTGGTCAGCATGTTACAACGTGTGTTAAAACATCAAGCAGTAAATAATTGTTTAATAAAAAGATCAGCTAACTATTAACTTTACTCAACATTCCAATAAACAATTTATTTTAATTAAAATGCCTATTAGTATGGATTACTGGGGTCATTTTGTCCCTCAGCGTTTATGTTTGCCCTCTGTGGATCTTGTATGTAATTTCGAGTTTCATTTAGTTTTATGTATCTGTCATTAATTAGATTTTCTGTTTGGCTGTGCTCAACGGGCAGATTGTTGGGTGCAAACATGCATGGACACTTGAATTAACAAAAGTGAGGAATTAATGCAAAAATTGGATCAAAACAAACTTTATCCAGAAGTTTGGATGTTCATTGACTTAACTTTTTCAGTACTGATATATGATATCTCCCTTTTTGGAAAATCAAAAAATTTAATTTATTTTAAAAAATCCTCATGGGTAAGGTTAGAGTTGTCTCCACTGCTTCAAGGCTCACGTTTTCTTTGACAATGTTTTCTGTATTTTAGTGTGTGTTCTGTCTCACTGATGTGTTTCAGGTCTCTGTTTGTCAGGAAATGTTGACAGAGTTTCGAAATGCTGTTTCCTGTAAAAAAAACTCCCGCTCTCGTCGGCGACGACCCTTAAGTAGCACTGGGGGTGGAGTTCTACGTCACCCATCTCGTTTGGCTTTGGCTGGCCCTCGTCCAATCCGTCTTGTTCGGGAGATGCGTCTCAGCAATGGAAAACTTTACAGTGGTGCTGGTCCACTGACAGGAGGTCTGGCGGGGCTTGGGGGTGGCTTAGGAGCAGGACCTGACTTGGGCCCCGGCCCACAAAGGCTTCTACAGGACCCATTAGGTGCCAACGCCACCAGCAGTACCCCTCCTCCGCTTCCTCTTGCATCGGCCCTGGAAGCCCCACCTGCCCCGCCGCGCAGCTTCCTGCAGAGTTGCAGCCATGTCCGCATCTGCCAGGAGTGTCGGAGAATCCAAAGTTTGAGGCCAGCAACTTTCACACCTCCCCCACCTCCTCCTCCTTCTTCCTCCTCCTCCGCTTCCTCCTGCTCTCGTATACCGCCTTCATTGGCAGCAACAGGTCACCATCATCATCGTCACAATCCCCACCACCACCTTCACTTCCACAATGGTTCCATGTCACTGCCTCGACTACCCCCACCTCCTCCCCCAATCCCAACAGACAGAGCTGACAGTGATGGTGGGACAGCAAGCCCACCACAGGCCAGAAACAAACCAGCACCTCCACCCAGGCCGATACCCCCATCCAAAACACCAATACACCAAACAGACTTACTTGGGGGTCACGACTGAGCATAAACACATTGAGATATTTAAACTTTCAGAACTTTATTTGTAGGCCTAACAACTAAGCTGAATTTGTCCAAACTGTCCTATCAGCAGAGGTGGATGGAAGAAACCATTTTGACCCGTTTGCAGGGTCTGTTACTTAAATGTAGCCACTATGGCTCAGTTGATGACACTAATAACTTGAACACAAGGGTGGTTGGATTAAAGCACCCTGACTTTGTAGGACAGAGTATTAACCAGACACTAAACTCTGGATTCAACTACCAAAGTGTTTGGCATCTTTGGGTTGCAACACTGCATATAAAGGACAAACAGAAAGTAGCTGCTGGAACTAGAAGCAGAACTCCACCTCTTACCTCGGCTACTCATCACACTTTAAGAAAAATGACTGAGCAAAACAAACCCAACAGAGTTTACCAGTACTCAGTTTTTTGTTTTTGTTTGTTTGTTTGTTTAATTTTAAATGCCAAACCAGGTGTTTGTAGAAAAGAAGACCTACATGCAGACACGTGGTAGCAGAGCAGCTGTACAGTTATCATGGTCTTCTGTCACTCTTTTTGGATGTCTGTGGAGGATGTAGCTCTTTTAAACACTGTTGCTGTTTGTACAGACCCCTGCTGACTGGTGCTGTGATCTAAAAACAAGAAACACATACCACTGTTACTCACCTGAGTGTGAAACACTGTGCTGGGGTAGTTCTTAAGAAAAATGAACTGTAGAAGATCCAAGAACATGACAGCAAATGGCTGACAATTTGGAAGTGGCTATTAGTTTAGGGAATTTTTTTTTTTAATTTTGTCTACTTTAACAATTTTAAGATCAACAAGCCAACCAGGACTTGGTGTTCCTGTTAGTGTTTTAAGACCATTTTAGATTCTGTTTTGCAAGGAATAAGTCATTGTTTTCAAACTAAGAACAGGCGTTAGGGCCTCTGCTCACTAAATCTGTATATTGTTTTATGATATGCATTCAAAAACAAATAGAATCTCCACACAGTGCTTTTGCTTGCCACAATAGATATACTATACAGTTTTATATATATATATATATATATATATATATATATATATATATATATATATATATATACACACACACACACATATATATATATATATATAATCGGCCTTAGTTCTAAGAGGAAGACGTTTATGTAAACTTAAAAAAATCTCTCTCTCTCTCTTTCACTATCACTATCTATCTATCTCTCACTCATTCACACACACACACACACACACACACACACACACACACACACACACACACACACACACACACACACACACAATTGACAGGCCATCAAACAAATATTTCAAATTGTATTGTTCTGTAAACATCCACTATAGTTAGGGATGGAAACAATACTTTATTTTAATTTTTCACTACACACTTAATTTGCAAAGGCTTCATGTTTGAGGTTCCCAGTTTTTCACAAAGGCAGTTTTAAATTAACTTTTATTTAATAACTTTGATGTCACAAAACTAAATCAGCAAGTGAACTCATAAGAAACTCAAAGATGTAATTTAAACATAAATATGTGTTAATAGAAACTAGATCTAACATTTATAGTCTACTTTTTATGCAACAAAGATTGTTAAATTTTGAAATAAGTTCTTTATTCTTTCTTTTTCAGTATTGCTGCCTGAGAATGAGCACTTCCGGTTGCACTGATGCTAGTATTATATTGACCTCATGCTAAAAGTGAAACTGCTTCCAAATGCTAATGCCACATTTGGAAACAACCCCAGATTTTGGATGAAGGAGGCTTATTGCATGCCTGTTCACAAAAGCATTTATTATAAATATTGTGTTTTATTGTCATAAAAAGAATAACATTTTACAAAACCATTGTTTCTGAAAACCATTCTTCCAATATAGATATGAATAAGTGATGCCCACAAATTAAAGCTGCCTAGATATGAACAGTTCTATGTGAATATAGTTCATTTTTCATTTGCATATATCTAAAAACCAAAACATTTATTAGTTGTGAGAATTAGAATTTAAAAAATCATTGAACTTTTAATTCATTATTAGAATATTTGAATATAGCTACAGGGCCTTCTTGGTTTTTTTAAAATGCATTTAGGGATAAAAACAGCAACTATAAAACAAGAGAGTAAATAAACACATTTACTAGTAGGTTGACAATCTAAAGGTCATTAAAAAATGAAGAACTACCTCAGTGCAGTTACATCAATTTGAGGTCAATATCCATGCTGTTTTTTGCCAGATTTTGTGGATCATTGGAACTCTGATGCATTGTACTGTACACACATTTACCTGTAATCTGGGAGGTCTAACAGCAAAAAAGTATAAATATAAAACAAAATTTGTGATTGTATTTTCAGCTACTTTAATCTGAGGACTGCTTGTATCTTTTTTATTTCTTTTTGTTAACAAAGACTAAAGTTCTTTCTAAACTGATGTCAAGAGGATTTAATTGTAACACACTGTTGTTGCAGTTCAACTATTAATTGCTCCACCTTTTCAAGATTCACTAAAACGAAATTAGTGACCAACTACTTGTTATAAAAGTGCTGTTGGTGAATGTCCGAATACATAACGGTTACATCAGCTATTTTGGTTATGATTGCATAACTGTAAAAATTGCAAGTGAAATATTTTGAATAATAGTGCCTGTTTTGTTTTAGTTTAGTTAATTCTTTATTCATTTTTGCTTTTAAAATGATGACATTAGTGCAGCAGCAACAGACAAGACAATTGTTGATGGAAATGGGACTTTTCGGTAAATACATTTTAGTGAGTTTAAGATTGGGTGTGAGAGAGAGCATTTTTCACTGGTTTAACGATTCAGATTTAGGGTTTGAAAGTCAAGGGTAGATGTGACGGGGCCCTGAAATATTTGCTATTGCTAAATATTCTCACAAGTTAAGTCACACAAATAAACGTTTGCGTGTGTGTGTGTGTGTGTGTGTGTGTGTGTGTGTGTGTGTGTGTGTGTGTGTGTGTGTGTGTGTGTGTGTGTGTGTGTGTGTGTGCTTGAGCGTGTGTGTGTGTGCACAAGTATGTTTGTTCTTTTGTTTCTGGTTCTGTGACATGTTCTAATGAACATTTCACTGTTAATATAAGATTGAGATTCAGGGTTTCAAGAAAGACTCAATGCAAAAGGTGCTGGAATGGATGCTGTTTTCAAACGACCTCACAAATGTAGTTATACAAGTAGGTGTGTGTGAATGCGTGCGTGCATGCATGTGTGTTCTTTTTTATTTCTATTTCTGTGAAAGCTAATGAGAATTTCACAGCTAATTCAGGATTGAGATTCAGGGTTTCATGATAAAGACTAAATGCAAAGGGTCCTGGAATGGATGCTGTTTTAAATTACCTTTTAAATGTGGTTATACAAACAGGTGTGTGTGTCTTGTTCTGTTTCACATTTCACCATGTTTGGCTTTCATTTTTAGTTTTTCCGTCCCTTCATGAGATTTGTACCAGCAGTGCTCAGCCGTTCAGCAGGACAGCGATGTCAGAAAATATGATTATAATGATTCTGATGTTATTGTTATTATTATTGATATTGACATGTGGGGTCACTGTAGAAGGGGTGCCTCCCTCTGATGTTCAAAATATAGAAACATATTTGGAATAAAAAAACTAAAAGTCATTGTACCAAACATGCTGTTGTTGAAGTTATTTTTTCTTTCAGCCTTGATTTACACCACCGTGATTGACCTAATTTTGGGTACATAGTCAGAATGACTTCTTGGAATCTAAAGAGGTTTGAATGAAGGCAACTGGACTTCCTTTGCTCCTCTCTCAAAGCACCTATCTTCGCTGGAACATTTTAGGTGTTTTTATTTTAGTATTTAAAAATATACTGATCTGCATCTTTCAGTCTGTGAATGAAATAAAATGGATACATAGAGGAAAACATCCTTAAACTCTGGCAACAAATAATAATTCATGTTTTGTCATATATATATATATATATATATATGTATAATTTTTTTTGTCCATTGAAATGTTTCTTGATGAGGGTGTTTGGGAACCAATAGAGTTCATAGGGTTTTTGCTGTAGCACATCTGGTTCAAGAGTCTATCTAAATAAGGTGTATCTCTTCTTCACCTTTTACCAGCTGTATTAATTCATTCACTGCCAGCCTTTTTTTCTGTAACAGCAAGCCCCTGACTGCCAGTGGTTCAGAGTCACAGAATACTGGGCTCTATAACCAATACCAAAAAAAGAGGAGGCAATCAGCTTGTTTCTTGCTTTTTCTGTTCTTTCATAATCCATTGTTGAAGTGTGAGCTGCAGAAGCTTTTCCAGTTTGCACCTTGCTTTTTTCATAGCGGCATCCCTAAACAGTTTCCAAAATCATGGATTGTCTGTTTCCTGATCATGTTAAATTTGACATACATGGGTGAAGATCAACTTTAGAGCTGGGATGTTTACTCTCAAGGCACGCAAGCTAATTCCCAAGCACGCCCCATTAAAAATGCAATGGCAGCAAGTAGTTGGATTTAGAATGATGACTCAAGTTGTCAGTGGCAGTGCCTGAGCTTGAATAAAATTCTGGTGATTTTCCCTTCTAGGAACAGACATGTTCATTAGTTCAACACAAAGACTTTCTTCTTAATTAAATTTTTAAAAATGTAAAAAAATCAATTATTGTTTGAAATAAACTTTGTGAGATTATTGTCAAATATTCTCTGATATTTGACTTTCTACATGTTTGCTGGATGTGTTAACAATATCAAAACAGTGAAGTTTCCTGTTCTATTCTCAGCCAGCGTGATGGTGTTTGTATCAACCACTGTAAATCAACTTACTTGGAAGTCACTCATTTTTCAGTTAATGGACATTTACCTAAGCCAGAAGAAGAATGTGTATAGCTTTGATCAGAAAGATCAACTGGAAATATAAAGGAAAGAATGAAGATGAATATGTTTGTCCATTCTGGCCATGTGAAAGCGCTCTATAAATAAAGTTGATTTGATTTGATTTGAACAGTTTAGTTAAAACCTACAATGAATAATGTCCTTCTTCTACAAAGTTTCTAGTGCTAAAATGATCATTTGCAATTTGTTGTTATTTTTATTAATTATTGGGTTATGTTAAATATTTTTTATTTCCTTATTTTATATATATATATATATATATATATATATATATATATATATATATATATATGTGTGTGTGTGTGTGTGTGTGTGTGTGTGTGTGTGTGTGTGTGTGTGTGTGTGTGTGTGTGTGTTGTAGCATCATGAAGGTCCTCTAATTTGTGACAAAGGTCACATTTTCCCAGCTAGGTCAAGCTGGGTCAGACTGTGACTTTTGGTTCTGCAGATTAATCCAGGAGTCATGATGGCTGCTGTTCCATCCCAGAAGGACACTTAAAGTTTCACAATAATAATTTAAATAATAATTTTAATAAACTCTTTGACTTTATTACTGTTATCATAAATAATCATATGGTTCAGTATAAATGTATTTTTAATTACTGAAATTAATTTTTATGCTTTGGGTATAATTATGATTATGGTTGATAATCGGTTATGGTGTTCAGTAACCAGAAGGTCAACTTCCACCTTTTCCATCCAACACAGAGCTAATCCAGAGTAAAGGTAATCTGCCGTCACATGTCTTGACTCATGACCAAAGCTTTCTTGCTCTGAGAGTGGGCGTGTTCTGAGGAGTTTGTTAAAACTAACTTTCCAGCAGCTTTAACTTCAGTTCGTGAACCAACCACCATTACCGGAGGATAAGGAAACGTTCACCCTAATCTCCACCTGCTGTTCTGTCATGCTGACAGAATAGCTTTGAATAAACGCAACTATAACCAGCTGACGAAAAAACTCCTTCAGAGTTATTGACTTTGAGATGCAAATAGTTCCACCAGTTGATTAATCTTTGGATTAAATATTGACCAAACAGGTTGGTGTATGAACTTCTATAGATTATATAAGTGTCTTGGATATTTATACATGATATAAGCTCATATGCTAATGTGCTTGGTCATTCTCAGAATTAACAACTGATAGCAACAGTGTTGATTCTAGTATGTAGTAATACG